CACCCACCCCCCATCTTGTGGGACACACGTGGGAAATAAGAGAGAAAGCACCGCTCCTGATTGCCTCTAATGTCTGAGTGAATTAGGTTAATGAGAGCTAATTTATCTGGAAATAGAGGCCAGGTTGCGACAGTTTCACACTGACACGGCTGATTGAACACACACACACACACAGATTCTTTATGTGCCACACAGTAAGGTACACTAAATGCATATATTCCCAAAAACCTTCATATGCAGATAAGGCAAAATGCCCCATTCTAGTCTCCTGTCATAATACCTTTATGTAAAATGGGAAGCGAAGACATAAAAAAACATCTGTGACCTTGTATCGAACAGCTGGTTGCTTCACTTCAATTTGAAAAGCTACACAGGCTGCAGGGGATTATGTACATGTTGCCTTTTTAACAATGACCTCCATTATTATTTCAACTAAGCATGCCTCTTGACCCAAAGTAACCTCTCCCTGCTAACCAACCCCCCTCCTAAACATCTAGTAAATCAAACACACACACACAGATGGACACACCCCTATTGGTTTCAAGCTGATGGTGTGTTGTGGGTTGGACCAATCGCAGCAGAAGCCGGTAAATTCTCCCTCCCCCTCCCCTTCACAAGTGTAGCTCCACAGCCGGCATTTCAATACCCACGATGCTCAAGATATTACTGACATCATGTGAGAAAAATGGCTGGAAAATATTCAGCTCTGTTCCAGTGGTACTGATATCATGGCCTTAAGCGATGGTTTCTGAGCCAGTAATTCACATCCAGGAGCCACATTTCACACACACACACACACTGCTGCGCCCCACTTCACTCTAGATCAGAGAGTCAAAGTCAGCATCACGTGGCCACATTATCTTGCCAAATTTGAATTTTATAATTTTACAACCACTCCCTGCTCCACGTGAGCCTTCCAGCAGTTAATATATACTTAATATATAAATATATAAAACCATATATCCGTGCAAGGTGGCAGGAAGCTGAAGCCAATCCCAGCATGCTCTTGGCAAGAGAAACGGGAAGCCCTTGACGGATCACCAGCTGTTCTTCTGTGTAGCCCAAGGCAAACACGTAGTTAAACACATTCACACAGCATTGATAATATTCTGTAGACTGTGCTGTACTATATACTTATATCTTAAATATCTTTGGAGACAAATGAAACCAATGAGCAGAACTGCTTCATGGAAATGTTGGCCTTAATGTGACTACATACTTTTTTTGGTATTTAATTCACAAGATTAACATTTACATGTTATTATTGTATCTATAAATTGTTTCTTTAAGTAATTTACTCCATCATGGTATATATAATCAATTATATATACTATATTAGCAGATTTATGTCATACAGCCAATCCCTACAGAGGAAATTAGAGGTACCCTGGTGTGTATGATCCCTAGTAGTGCTATGGAGCAATGTTTGCAACGCACATCTGGTTCCCTGTGCACATAGATGTGGGTGATGCAATTCAAACTCCTGCCAACAGTTTCACACTATTCCTTGGATCTTCAGGTAACGCACCAAGAAATGCAAGAAAGAAAGATTTCTAGCAAGTGAACCTTCCTATTTAGCTCCAACACAATGCCGAATCCCAAACTGAATCACATGTGCCTTAAAGTTCAAACAGCTGGTAGATTCCACCACACATCTGCATCTAGAAAGAAGATGAACTGAAACAAATGCTGACGCTTCAGCTGCTGTTTGTTCATCAATGGTTCTGTTGTAGGTTTAGTAAAGGCCACGGGGACTTCTAATGCACACATTACACAGTGTTTCATACAGTCTATATTCTCCCTCTGTTACCACAACGTCCCTCAGTAGTCACTTCGAGACTGTTGCCATGGTTACTGCCAATGGCTCACGAGCTGTTTTTTGTTCTGTACACTTACTTCTCATTTCTCACCCCACTCAATATCTTATCCCCCCATTTCCAGTATGTCCTTGTTATTGTTTAATATTGTCTTTGCTCTGTGGACCCGTCCTAAAAAGTCACGTGCTGTGCTGCGAGATTCGGACACCTACCAGGGCATCATGCGGCCGATTCTTGTCCATCTACTACGGCTCACCAGGAAGCCCACTGTTGGGTCTGTGACGGCGTCCCAGGCCCGGCCCACAAACAGGATGATGGAGGCATGGGAGGGATCCAGCTAAAAGGGAGCGAGTGGAAAAAGACAAGACATGAAGCCAAAACAAAGGGGATGCCAAATACTACCTCATATGGCGCTGCTGGGGAGCGATTCAAAAGAGCCACGACACCAATGTGGTTATGGAGACACTGAAATACACAACAGTGTCATTTGTTTAAGAACAAAGTAGCATTGAAAGCCACTTTTAATGATCTCATAGGCTGAGCTGAATGGCCTGTATTTAAGTTCCTACTGTGTACGGTGGAAAAGTCTAATGTGCTAATTGAGTGACAAAACAAAGCAGTAGGAGTCCAGGTTAATGCGCTTGACCGGATACTGCTGGAGACTGTTAAACTGATCCGAGGCTGAAAGGGAGAACACAAGCTAATCAGAATGTGGAACTACAGGGGAGAATACAAACAGGAAGTAAACTAGTCTCCATTATTCTGCAGAATAAACAAA